AATATATATATATATATATATATATATATATATATATATATATATTCACACTATTAAATAATTAAAAAATATTTTACATGTAACTTTAAATTAATTATAAAAAAAATTGACATACATTCAATTCACGATTTAGACAATAGTATAAACAGCAGTTATCAAAATGTTTACCATAACTTACTATATTCAATCAATAAAATGGAACTCTTAGTTTTAAAAATATTGATAAGTTGTGGTTTACAGTGGATATATTTGTACGAAGGTTAGATAATATTAGAAGGGAAAAAAATGGAGATATGCTTCCTAAAATAAGGATGAAGGTATCATAATTGTTTAATTTGTCACACAAATCATTCAACAATCTAGTGATAATTAATAGACTTTTTGTTTAATGATTTGTAAATGTGATCATTAAGAGCACATGCTGGGTACGGAATCTTGAATAGTCGTTACTTTTGAATTTTTGACATTAAATAAAATGGAAATTATTTAATGATTTGATCAAACTTTTTATGGTCGATAGATTTTATCATAATTTTTTTTATATGTAGATTATGAAACTGACGCTGATGACTTATCTGTAATGATCACATGATTAACAGAAAATGTTAAGTAGATTAATAATGAAATGACCTATCACCTATTGTGATTATTTTCTCCAAGACTCGTGCCTACAACATAATTCATCTTAATTAATTGTTAGAGATCTTAATTAATCAGTAAAATATGTAGACAAAGATTTGTAGAGAGCAAATAGGTGCTTACACGTAGATTTTATAATATATTTTGACATGCTAAAGAGTCATTTGGTTTACGAAAATTTTTCATATAAATCCTTATAATTATAACTTTTAAAAATTATGAAAATGTATTTAGTTGGTTCTAAATGTTTCAGAAATATTTATAAATGTTATCTAGAAATCAAATATTTTTACTACTGTAAATAAGTAAATAAAAGTAATATAAGTGTTTATTACATTAAAAAAAATTACACGAGGAAAGTTAATTTTTCACATTTTCATTAAATAATTTCGTGAAAAAATTATGCCAAAATCATTTTTAAGAAACAATATTTTATAGGAATGTTATTTTTTAAATAACAAATCAAAGGACAAAGGCGGAAAATTAAGGAGACTTTTGATGGGAAATAAATTTTTTCATACCCAAGAATCATGATTCAAAGAATTATAAATTATGAAAATTATGATTCCTATGAATAACTAAAGTTTATTTTCTTATTCATAAATGTTTATGAAAAATATTTATATAAGATTCTTGAAAGTTAATGATTTTCATGTTTTTTTTATAATAGTATATATGTATTTTTGGGTATATGAATATTTTTTTTACCAAAATATGATTTATTAAAATAATTTTATTAGATATATTTATTTACTCAAATTTTATTATAAATATGACATCAAACTATTTTAAAAAGTTGAGAACTCATAATTAAAATTATTTGAATACACAATTTAATAAAATAAATAAATAAATAAATGTTACCTTATAATTAAGAATGATAAAAAAATAATATTTTATTTTATTCAATATTTTTTACAAATACTATTAAATCATAAAATTAAATTAAATTTTAATAATATTATTAAAATTAACAATGTTAAAAAATAATGAGATATAAGAGACAGAAAAAAAAATAGAGATATGAGTGAGAGAAAAAAAATGGATAAAGAGAAATAAAAATATAAAGAGAGAAAAATAAAGGGCGAGAGATATTTTAAAAAGATGAATCTTAACTCTATCTATCTCTATCTCTATCTCTCTCTCAATATATATATATAACTTTATTCCTAATTTAAAAAGGTTGGATTCCAATCCCATGAAAAAAAAAATATATTTTTTGTGAAAAAGTGAGATATAAATGATTTCCCATGATTTATATCTCATTTGAATTGTTTTTTTGTTAATAGCTACTACCTCTACTTTTTTATTATAAGAAAAAAGAATGACACATTTCTTGTTCTTAGATATAAGTAAATTTATCTATTTTTACATCATTTAATAATTTTTTTGTAATACATGACATTTCAGTTATACTACTTCTTTTGACATTAATAACAAGGATAATTTTAAAAAAAAATCTTATGAGAATAATAAAATTTAATGTAAATAACCAAATTTTTTAATATATGTAAAATCAATTTTTTATAATAAAAAATAAAAGGATATGGAAACCAAAATTTCTAATTTTAAATTTATAAAAAGAAAATAAAATCATTTTCCATATTAAATACGCTTAACATCCACAAAGTTAGATTCTAAAAAAAATCTATATACTAAATGTTCCTTAATATAATAAAAAAATATATATATATATATATATATATATATATATATATTTGAGGTCGTAATCCCCATTATTTGAAGATTTGAAGTTATGAAAATTTATGTGCTTGCGTATAAATTATAATTTTTTAAAGAGTTTAATATTTTAATTACAATTTATTTTTATTTATGTATATTATTAAAAATCTTATTACAATGTATACAAAATGAATATCTGCTTTTCAATACAGTGTATTGTATATCTAAGTTAAGATTATAATTTTGAACATTTTATTTAAGGAATATAAATTGTTATAAATAGTATAGGTTTGAAAATTTGCATATATGTTAAATGTTAAAATTTCAAAAAATTATGTTTTTTTTAAAATTTTTTTGCATTGTAAAATTATGATATTATGATTATTTACTATTATTTTATCAATATCAAAGTTCAATCAGAATTCAAACATTAAGCCTTAATTCAGTATCTTAAACAATTACCGTTTCAGTTTAAAATTTTTTGATAAAATTGATACATAAGTTTTTTTCTTTTTTACTTACTACTTTACGATTTTCTATTAATTTTTATTTATTTATCTCATATATAATTATACCCATTATTTCAAATTTATTTATTTTTATATTAATTTATTAACTTATAAATTTGGAATAATATGAGAAAATTAAAAGAGGAGTTCAAACATTATAGGTGAAAGTCTATAAGATGATGGAGTTTAAGTTTACAAGGTTACCCCCTATCTAGTATCTACAATGTCTACGCACTAGTTAAGGATCCAAAGTCCGTTGTTACTCGACCAATTAATTGTTGGTATTTATTTCCCATATTACCCTTCAAAATATTAGTTTTTTACTTTACACGTGAACAACATATTTGGTTATTAACTGTAGAAATGCACATGGCTATAGTTGGTATTTACTAGGCGAGCCTCTTCTGGAAATCAACTTAACTTATTTTCCAATGCATTATAAATTTATTGTTTGACTCATCAAAATGTCACATATTTTCTTTGAATAAAAAAAAATGAGATGTTAATGTTGTAGAGATACAGACAAGTTCTACGTCCATAAAAAAAATAGAACAAAAAATGAAGAAAAAAAAATAGAACAATAACAATGACATTTTTTTTTCCTGCAATAAAAATAACGTTTTATTAGCAGACATAGGGGATTCCTGTAACGAAGAAATTAATAAAGTTAATTAGTCTACGGTCGGACAGGACCAACCAAAAGTTGCATAAAATATATGAACAGCACGTCAAATAAAAACTCAAACTTTTTCTTCAAGCATACTGAATCTTATATCCAAGAATTAGATTTAGATAAGTGCAAAATTCTTGCTTCCCAAGCAATTGGATAATATTTTTTTAGTGCTTTCGTTCGATTGTCTGCTTGTAGAGTTATAGTCAACATTTCTTTTTAAAAGTAATGGAATAGATTAAACTCGTATTATATATTTTCACAAAGCAACTCTCAATTTGCCACAATAACTGAGCTTCATAAAATAGGTTAATTACAATGTATCTCTTTTACATGTAATCCTCCTAATCCATTAACTAAATTTATTTATTGAAATTACAATCAAAACACAATGTTTAAAATTTAAAATTTTATGTATGTTATTCTAATCTTCCATCACTAGACTCATTTTAGTGATTCATTAATAAATTATTTAATAAGTTGCTAAAGTAATTTTTAATTTTTTTACATTAATGTAAAGTTATTAACTAATTAAATAATTTTAAATATTTTTTAAAATGTAAATAAGATATTAATATAAATTGGTGAGTAATCTAAAATTGTTGTTTGTGTATTATTGTGTCAAATATTTTTTTCAACTCCAAGCGTGTGATTCAGCGGTAGAGGTTGACCCACGCTTAAGTAAGGTCAGGAGTTTGAATTTTGTGCCTTGTATATGCAGTCGCGTTAAATCTTGGGACTAGTTATCTCATTCTTTGAGGTGTCTCTAACATAGCGAGGAGATTAGTCACTACTATCCGTAGTAGATTCTTCCTGGACGAATTTTTTTTTTTTTCTCTTTTATGCTTTTGAAGATAACATATAAATTGGGGGCAACTCAGACTTAGAGTTTCAATGAATAGAGTTTCAATCCGGAAGATGAGTTTTCTGGCGGGAAGGTTAGCAGGGAAAGAAGCAGCCTTTTTCTTCCAGGAATCCAAACAAGCCGTAGGAAAATTAGCCGAAAAGAAGCGTCTTCCTAAGAGCAACGACAACCTTAACCTTCACGAAGGACATGAACTTGATCTTGCGGACGTGCTTCCCGAGGTTCTGAGGCACTCCCTTCCTTCCAAGGTGTTCAGAAACGACACTGCCACCTCTTCTTCCTTCTCTGCCTCCAAATGGGTCCTTCCTTCTGACCCCAAAACCCAATCTTCCGTATCCCCCGACGCTCTCAATCCTCTCCGTGCTTACCTTTCCCTACCCCAAGTCACCTTTGGCCCCAAAAGGTTCCTTCATCACTCTCTATTTCAATTTTTTTAATTCTCTTCACCTCATGTATCGAATTTCATTTGCATAATGTTTTCTCACAGGTGGGAACCGCCTGAAGCAGCAAACAAGGTTTCAGCCTCAACGGCTAATGAATTGCGTCATGACCGGTATGCTATCCATGTTAACCCGGAGAAGTTAAAAGCTGCAGGCGAAGGGCTTGCACATGGTACAGTTCATTCTTCTCTCATTAGCTTTCCTGTGTGCTGTAGTCTCTTATTTTTTCATTTCTGCTTTTTGGGTTGTGTTAGAAATTTGTAAATGTTTGAAGCAATTCTCAATAGTTGTAGACAGATGGTTTCTCTGATGCAACATCAGGGAAAGTAATTGTTTTGCTCACTGATGAATATGTATAATGTTGAGACAGTATCTACTAGACAAGGTTACATTTTACACTGGAATATGTTGCAGCTAATGGTTGATGGAAAATTGAGGGTATAGATAAGGCCAACGTTGCTTATGGTCATCCTAGATTACTTTGTAGAACTTGATGCTGTGTTTAACTTTGATTAAATTTGTGAAAGTTGAAATCACAATATATTAAGAATCAGGTCTTTCTACTAAGCAACTTTGTCTAACCAGATTGAGTTAGTGCAGTAGTATAAAGGGGGGAGGTGTTGGGGAGTTTAAGTTATTTTGTTGGGTCTAGAGAGTGTATTAATGATTTGAGGGAGGGATAGTTGTGATACTTCAAGAGCTTCTCATCAACTAAACAAATACAGTTAAACCTTCATTGAGCCTTTTAACTGTAGAGAAACTTGTGGTTACTGGTTGTATTGTATGTGAAATTAAATTAGCAATATTTGGGAGTTTAAGTGAACCATCCTCAAGTATGGAGCTTTAGGCTGTTTGAGGTGCATTTTTTTTTTCAGATTGAGGTTGAAGTGTTTTATATTTTGAATATAGAATTGTAAATTAGGGAGGGGGGGACTTGGGCATACAATATATGTGGTTTTAAAGGGGAAAGCATTAGGAGGATACTATTTGAGCAGAAATTGCTTTTGTTGTATAAAATATTTTAGGGGTGATTGTGTAGTAGTAGTAGGGTTAATAATAAAGTCAAAAACAGGCATTATCTACTCTGTTTTGGGACAAGTATGATTTAGAGTATGAAAAAATTTAGCGGTAGAAAAGTGCTTTGGGCTTTAGGAACTCACGGACAAACTTATGGGGTCTTTAATTATTAGCGGCATGCAATATCACTTGCTATAGCACTATAACTATTATCTGGAGAAGTTGCACAACTGATACATGTAATGTTGTGTGCTTAATTTTATACACACCAATGACACCATAGCAATGAAGACAATGCATTGATACCCTACCATTTTGGGATATTGAATCCATGGAATAACCCCATTTTTTTCTACTTGATTTCCCTGCACCTTCAGGTGGTTATTTACTTTATCAGATGTTGGTTTATGACTTTATTCTGATTTTGTTGTGCTTATTATACCAATAATGATGTCAAGGGAAAAAAAGAGTTCTTCAGATTCTTTGTAGATGATGCTCAAGTTTTCTAATGCAATTTTTGTAATTTCCAATCTTATAGTCGGAAAGGCATTTGCTGTTGCCACTGCAATTGTATTTGGTGGAGCTGCATTGGTACTCGGTATGGTGACATCCAAGTTAGAGCTGCATAATGTAAGTGATGTTAATTATATGTTAACCCTATAGTTTAATATGCAATTTTTTCTCTCCCTCTCTTGATACATGTTTGTTTGTTTGTTTTCTAATTAGTTAAGTAAACCAATTGAATGCCTCCCTCGTTCCATTTGCATTCGTCATTCTTCATAAATTATTCATCATGTTGAATGACATATTTAGGACCATAAAACTTCTTCGTTAAGCCTCCGTATTTTATATCGATACTTGTTTGACTTTTTCTTTGGTTTTTCATTTGTATTAATAGATCTCTTTATTGGCAATATTGCCAGATAAACTTTACATCTCAGTTTGTTGACTTCTTTATCGGAAATTTTTGTTGTTGTAACAGGTCGGTGACATCAAAACTAAGGGAAAAGACTATGTTGAGCCACAACTTGAGAATATTAAAGAGCAATTTATTCCCTTCAAAATATGGGTAAGTTTTAAATTGTATTTATTTACATTTCTGAAAATTTCAATTCACAGGCTTAACCCAAAAGTTGGACTTACAGGCTGAGAATATGTCAAGAAAGTGGCATATGGAAAAGAAAGATGTTGAGCAGAACACTCTTGTAAAGGAGCTATCTAAAATGTGGGGTGCAAAAACAACAGATTGAGATTTACAAATTTATTTGTTTTCCTTTTACTTCAGTTGCTTTGGAAATTATGTCATGGGCAACAAAACATAGATAAATTGGATGTAGTATGCCTCTGGCTGTTGTGACTGTAAATGTTGAAGCATGCCAGAGGGTAAGAATAAGGAAAATGATATTTGTATAACAAAATAATATAATGATTTACAACTTGTTTTACATGTATCATTACTCTAAAAATAATACGAAGTAGTGTATGTCAATAATTAAAATGGTACTCGATGGTGAAATATGGTTATTTTTGTTAACTCATCAATTTTTCTTCTTCTTTCAAGTAGACTAGATCTAGAAACCATAAGGAAGATTAGATTTTCACATTTAAGCTGTTTTTGTAGGAAGAAAAGAAGTTATTTGTATAAAAAGTTGTGTATTTGAGATAATAACCTCAATTTATAAGTGATTTTTTTTCTTTCTTAAAAAATAAGCTGTTTTTATGAAGTTAAAAATTTGAAGTGATTATTTTTTAACAGTTTTTTTTTTCTTTTAAGTTGATTTACTACATAAATCGGTCATTTTGTTGTATCTAAATGAAATTAAATATATTAGAATTGCTTATTAGCAAATTTACTTAAATAAAATTACATTTTAATTATAATTGATCATAGCAATAATTGATTATTCATATAATCAAAAATGATTATTGAATTTTCTCAAACATGGGACGCATAAAATATCGTTTAGGGTGATAATCTATACTGTTTTTGAATAAGAGATAGCCAAGGTAGAATCCCGTTTACAGAAGCTAACAACGCTTGAAAAAAAAATGTGCTAACATGTTTGGTAAAACTTAATAGAATCAATTTTGAATTCAGTTTTGATTTTGGCAACAAGATGAAAAAAAAAACACGCATAAGACAATGTCAATTATTATTGTTCTTTTGATTATATTTTACTTTTATTTAAATACTTGTACACTAACCATAAATGAACGAATAGTTGAGATTAATTTAGGAAGTTAAAAATAATTTTGATATAAACGATAATACTAATTATATTTCTTAATTTGTGTATCTTCTAAAATGGTTGGATAGAAAAAAAAATAGAGGAAGTATTGGTTCTTGAAGAAGTTATAAGGGTGAGATGAAACTAAATTAAAGGAAGTGCTGAATCCACTAAACATATTAATGATAATCCACCATTTAAGTGTCATAAGGCATGTTGATATTGATGTTGTTCATCGAGAAAAAAAAAAGTGGGAAAATGTAGACATACATCTTGTAATACAGATCGACAAAGTTATTCTATTTTTCTTAGCATTGTTCACAGAAAGTAGTGAAACACAAAATTTTATAGACTAGCTGCATGTTTATTTTTTCTTTAAAATGATCATGTTAACATGATAAGCTCACTAAGGATTTTGATGAAACGTATATAGACATATCATTTTATTGCATGAAAATAAGGGATGGAACATATTGGTGCAAATGAAAAGTTAGAAAGTATTGGTGGTTTGATTCGATGCTTCCTTGCATGATGCTTCCTTTTGGAACACACGATGGACAATTTAAATGATATATCTCAAACTCACGAGTAGTTTTCAGTTATGCCTTGATCAAGAATGAATGAAATAGAGAATAAATCTCGAGAAGAACCACAATTGTCACATATGAAATTGGGTGTGAGGGAAAAACCAATGCCTTAAAACCATTTATGCCACCACATCATCCCTAGATTGTTGGTTGGTCTGAATCAAACGTAAAAGAAGTTGCTATAACTTGTAATCTAGACCAGCTCCATATTTCCAAGCCTCGAGATGCCGCTTCCACTGGAAACTCATCTTGGATGGAAATGTATGCAAAAATGGCCTTGCAATACATAGCACATGTGCATAAAATATAAGAGTTTCTTTATTGGAGTTATATGCTTGTTGAATAAATAACCAAGCTAATAAGTGGTTTAGGAAGGACCTTGTAAAGATTATTACCTCACAATAGGATCAGCAAAGGTTGATAAAAGGGTGTAGTAGCCAAGCCCCACAAAATGTCTTGACCAATCAAGAAGTACAGGAATACCAACCTGAGGGAAGATAAAAATTTTAATCCCCTATATTGAAAAGGTTGCTTCACTAATTATTTATGCCCCATATTTTTATTGACCTCCAACTAGGTGCTAGTTGTTTGTTTGTCTATTTAAATGATATGAGAAACTATAGATACGAATATATAAATTATGCTACGAGCTATTTCAGGCAAATCAGCACAAACATATTGGAAGAGGGGTGGTTGCATTATTACTTTTTCACTTTTTAGTATTCATTCATATTTGCAAAGTCTTGGAAAGAAAAAAAAAAAAAAAAAAGGAAAGAAGAAGTTAATGATAGAAAATCTCGTGAATTACCTGTTTGAATATGGATGGGAGTATTTGAGGATTTGTTAACATAACCAGGCCCAATGTCTTGGAAAGTGGCCCAAATTGTACAACATCCTGTAATATATAAGATGATTTCTCAGGACAGTCATTAATTATTAAAATTTGACATTAGTTTTCATCTCAATTATTTAAAACTTTTAGGAAGAACATCTCAGAAACCAAAAAACACATCCAGAGTTTCAAACTGGTAAAAGAAGTCCACCTGTAGAAACGGTCGTAAAACTGGATCCCCAAGCCTCTGCAATAGTGAAAGATAACATAGAAGCAACAGTAAGAAAGTACATAAAAATTAACCTCATTCATGAGAGAAATAAACTACCTGCATACAACTAAAGTTGGTATAAAGAAGTTCATTAATAAAATCTGCGGGAACATCGGATTGTTGCTTTGCTGACATTGCTCTTTGGAACAACCAAGAAGCACTCAAGTTGGGCTGCATTACACAAAATCTTGGTCAGGTACCTTTTCATGCAAAGTTGCTGAAACAGTCAAACCTTTTAGAAAAGTTGGAAAGTACCATGTAAGGGTTCAGGAGAGACAAGTTGTATGAGTCGAGATAATCACCGTTGATTGCTTCATGTATTCCTTCATTAGAACAAATTGAAAAGGGAATCACATTATCTTAATAATGTACCTATTTTTTCTTCCCTTCATCATATTGTTGTTAGTTGTTACTTGTTTGAATAAATAACTTACCAAATCATTTTCAGCCAAAAATATAATCAGAAGTTCGAAATTCACTGAAAGGCTTACCAGCTGACAGTCTCCCAAGGTGCCTGGTCAAACTTCCAAATCCACCAAATGAAACAGGTGATTGTATGCCACTAGCATCACCAAACTACAGAGAATGAAGCTTCATTGCTTTAATATTAGTTTTTAGATCGTGGGTGACTTAATTTTATAGAGGCTTCATAAGTGGAAAATGTAATTTACCTGTAAAACTCTGCTAAAAGCAGCTGGTAGTGGACTGCTAGGTGCTCCATATCATCAAACATTGTACGGTGTCATATTGAAAGAAATGATAGGTAGAGATATAAGTAAGATGTGAAAAAAATTTAAAACTAGGAAAATTTAATCTGTTAGGTAGAGAACCAGAACACTTCAAGCTGAAAAATAATTTTCTCATGTGCATTACATGTTCTGGAGCAATTACAAGTTGGATGTTACATTTATTTCCACTTAATGAACTATTGTCCGGCAGTGATAGGTTAGTCAAAGAAAAATTTGAAAATTTCCTAGAGAAACATTCTGAAACAGGCATAAGGAGATTCAAAGTTAGCTTATTTATTAGCTTTCACGGTAAGATGTCATGCACATTACACGGTTCAAATTCTTACAGGAACCTTGAATCGTAAAAGACAAAGAATTAAATGAATGATATGTTTTAACCAATAGTATCAAAATCTTCAAAATCAAACAACTGGACGAATTGCCTTCATGTGTCGATATTAAGAGAAGCTAGAACTTGAGCCAAAAAAAAAACGACATATTGTGTGTCTGTGTGATAAGACAGTAATTGGAAGCATATAGTAGAAATTATCAACTAGTATGTACATACATATTTTAATACAAATTAATACCTCTCGCGAAATGTGGGAAAAATTCCATAAATAACTCGCAGTATCTCTAAATTGTCAAGTAAAACACCCTATAACATAAAAATTGCAAATTGACATCAGTAAAGCTGAGAGCAGTAGAACACTAGTATAAAAGAATGCATCAGGTCAAATCCAGATTTTTGGTAGCGTATATGAATTAAAAAAAAAAAGATTGAATGGTGTAAAACTTGATAGATTAGCATAGTCACTACAGAACTGATTGCATAGAAACTATCTAAAGAAACAGAAAAAAGGTAAGGATAATATGCCACACGAAACTGGAATTGATCAGTAACATAACAGAAGGGTAAACAAAAAAAAATTGTGACTTGATGAGTGATACAGAGATTTCCATTCCGTTGTTAAGTACAGGAAATTGAATAAAAAAATCTTTTCACTTCATATTGTAGTTAGTATTTTTCTAGAAAAAAAGCACAAACAAGGGGAAGAATAAACTGTCCTCCAAAGTGGAAAAAAATTTCTAGAGACATAAGAGAACATGACAGAGAAAAGAAAACTAACCTGATATTCTGGCATCAAATCCCAGTACTCTTCTAATAAATCTTCCAATTTCGGGGATCCAGGTTGAGGTTCCACATAAGTAAACATATAAGTGGTACGATCAAAAGGACCCGAGCCTGCTGGAAATGCCTGTGAAGATTTCAGTGAAGGTTCTTAAAAATAGAGTATGACTATGGGGATACTATTTCTATTAATATAGTAAAATATACCTCCCAAAATAATTGTGCTTTTGAATCTCCAACTTTCTTTATTGATGAACTGCTGAAAATAACATCACTAGTGGAGTTTGTTTCAAAGCCACGTGCACATGTTCCAACAACAAGGCAAACACCATCAGGCTTCCTCCCACCTCTTATCTGTAAAATTATTGAACATGACACTTGGAAGAAGCTTAGGGAAAATGTTTTAATTTCAATTTTTAATATTCAGTAGTTACTTATGTAATTGTTAAATCAAGTTAGCATATGTAGACAATGAATAGAATTTTTTAATGTGTGAAAATGAAAACATGATGAAAATCATAGACTAAATCTGTAAGAATGAAATGAGTAAAAAATATTTTCCTGACCTGTTTTACAACAGGGGAGAAGTTCCCCATGGCATCAATTATAAGACGAGATGATAATATTTTGTCCCCAGAAAGTTTCAGAACCTGAAAACAAAAACATACATACATTGATGCTTAATAAACATTATCATTCTTCAGTCCCATAAATTAAAAAGTACTTTAAGATTTCCATTTCAATGCCAGGTTCATATATTCCATGCTCCCATGTTTCATCTGTGTAACTCTTTTTTCTGGTACAGTGTGTAACTTTTTTTATGTAAATCTTTTGATACTTATCCACAGTTAGATGGTGTTAATAAATGTGAATATATATACGGCAATGCAACATATAAAACATCCGTATTGGTTACATAGCCTATAATTGCTTCGTGCAACTATGATAATTCATCAATGATAGAATTCATCAATCATAATAAATTAACACTTATGATTGCGCTAGAATAACTAGTTCTAAAAGTTAAGGAAAACTCACTGCAGCATCCTCATATACATTAATGGAGGAGACACCGCACCCCTCAAAAATAACTCCACCAAGGGAGATAAACCGTGTCTTTACAATCTCTATAAGCTTTTCTGGTCTGCAATAGCAAATAGAAAAAAAATTATTATGATTTGCAAAGGCAATACTTGTTTCAAATTCATACTCAAATTCAATTACTTCATTTTAAACTCTGCACCTATAGTTAAAATGAAATACTTGTTTCAAAGAGTTAAGCCCTGATAGATATTCAAAAATGTTCTCTGTGCATTGCTAGTAAAACATAATACAGCCACTAGAATTATGGAAGCATTCATCAAAATAATTCAAGCTTTTCTTTGCGTCTGGTTGCACATTACTTAGAAATAATACATCGGAACTGCTACAGCAGATTTTCAGTCCAATCTTGAAGGGGATGTGCAAAATATACCAATTAAGTACATATTTGAGTTAGTTTATTTTGTATTTAAAATAGGTTATAATCCAACTCTTACTAAGAGAAAAGTGATTTTCTCCAAAATTTATATAATCCAAGCATGCACTAAAGCAATTGAAACTGCATATTGTTCATTGCTAGTAGAGAACAAGCCTCACATTAGTGGGTTTAGAAATAAGTTAAAGGGTATATAAGCAAGAAGGCTATGAGTTCAAAGTGCCAAGGGATTTTTAGACAAACAAGACATTCAAGCTAAGCCTACTAACACATTCTACACATAATTGCCAAATCAGACGGAATAGAAAGGAAATTTTTTAACTAGATAAGAAAATAGATTCAATTATTCATTCGCAATTGAAATGGAAGAAAGCAGTTATTATAATTCTTTACTGGAATATCAAATCAGTTTATAGGAAGGAGACTGACGAAACACCGAGGTTAAGTATGTCGTTGACCCAGATATCCCCTTTTCTTCCAAATCCACATCTATTCTGCATTGTTAATGAAATTTCCACATCAGATTTAGTGAAAAATAAATTAGAAATAAAATAAAGGGGAGAGTAGGAAGCATGAAATCTAGAGAGTTTAGAAAAGAAGACTTGGCCTGAAGGAAATATTTGAGACATAGTTATGCCATTTGTAATATAGCTTTTTGCCCATAGGAGAAAGAAACCGTTGGTGATTTAATGTTCTTTGAGGAACAAAAAATATTCAGAGTTTGGAAATTACATTGAAGTATTAAATCTAATACTTCTTAATAAGTAAGCAGTGGTCTTGTGTACTCAGGAATTCTAATTTTAGCAAGAAAATGCAGAAATTCTTAATTTTGAAGTGCAAGAAAAAATGAATGATTTTAAATAGAATGAAAAAAGTATTCAGGGGTTCAATCCTTTGTAATTGTAACATACAAGTCATATGCTTTCATAAGTACTATAATTGATTCAAAGTCACGCATGCATAACTTAAGAAAGTACTTTGAATTAATATTCAAGGACGTTATTAATAATAAAACATTTATCTACCATTATCTCATCTAATGTCATGATATAATAGCGAAATTAAGAGCAAGACTTCCATGGTAGTTCATTTTTCTCTACCTTGCAAAGCTTGCGTGAGTTTCACCTTTTCAAGTTTCTATACAAAATTAGACACTGTTGGGTCTTTTCTTTTGGGACTGACAGCTAAATATATTCTGTTAGTAAGTAGATAACACACTAACTTTTGGTACTGTTTGATAATAATACCCTTTAGTTCAGGAATTACAGGATTGAATTTTACTGCTGTGGCTCTTTCAATATCATCTTCTTCCAATACTCCAACTTCTACAAGTTCCAAAAGCTCCTTTCTTGATATATTCCATTCTTGCTCTCTCTAATGGACAAAACAACACATAACAACTCAAAATGAATTCGACCTTTCAAAGAATTTATCGAGTCTTTTCTGCATAGGATTGAATGTTGATATCTCAATTAATGCCACTAAAATTACCCCTTTTAGTACATTCCTTTCCACAATGGCAACTCGAAGACCCCTGGCACACAAGGCTGTGGCAATGAAGATTCCCAGAGTGCCACCACACACCAACACATCATAGGAGCCTTCTGCTTTGTCAGCAAGTTCAGATGAGCGAAACAAGCTTGGGATGGTAGAGACAACTTTCTGAGGCTCTTGCACAACTGCAATGTAAACATAAGAAAATTACCAAACATAGTATAGTCTCATTTCCTAAAGGGCATAAGAAATTTAATCATTGTATGACACGAACCTTCTTGAGCCGAGCATATGCTTGACCATAGTTGGTCTAATCTTTTCAAGGCTTCATATGAGTATGCTCCACCAGCACCACCAACTTCTCCACTCACTGAAACACTCTCCATTATCCTCTAAAAAAGTAAAATAAATGAGTTTAATTTTGATACACTTTAAGTGTATAATTTTTACAAAGTCAAACATGAGTTTTAAAAGAAATGATCACAAAAGTACATGGATGACAGCATAAAAAAGTATAAAAAAAAATTAAATTTAAAATAAAGTGAATCTTCACTTGGACTTGTTACAAAGAATAGGTACCTGGGTTCTGGAGGGAACAGCTTGTGGTCTCAAAAGGAGGGGTCTTCGGCTGCATTTGTTGAGTGGGAATGAAGTTCCCACTGTGAGGTGAGATATTCCATTCATGGGTTGAAGCCGAGGCAATAACATAACAAAAGAAACTAAAAAGTTTTAGATGAAGAAGTGAGCAATAAAGTAAAGGAACTCGTTTTGGGGTCTTCTTATGTGTTTCGTTTATCAATTATCATCATTGAATAGACAAAAAAATTGCGCACCACAAGTGAACACGTTCAACCACCAAAACTGTCTGTCTGTCCTTTCCTTTCCTTTCCTTAAAAGACAGATTTTTGTGTTGTAGTAGGTAGATACAAAAGAGGCTAAATATTATTTGATGCTATAATATCTAATTTGTAATTTATTTCTAAAATGTAATTTTAATTTTTTGATTTTATAAACTCCGTAATTATGATTTAAATATTAAATATAGATAATATTATAATTAATATTTAATAATATTTATACTAAATTATATTTTTAATTCATATTTTTATCTTATAAAAATAAAAATGAAAAATGAAATAAAAAAGTATTTTATCTTAATATTATTAAAATAATTATTTTAAAATTATAAAGTCAACGTAACGGCATTGTATAATTAAATGATAATATAAAAGAATTAACATTATATTCTAATTTGTCTTTTTTATTTCTTTCTTGACATAAATTTATTTATTATCTTTTAATTTTTTATGTTTTAGGAATCGGAAATTTCATAAAATGGGAAAAATAATTTATTAGAAATAAGGTTAAAATATTTTTTTAAAAAAAGTAATCAACCATCTTAAATTTTACTCTTTTTTTTATATTTATAAATAGACATCATAAACTTTTATTTTATCTTAATCAATCCTTAAATTTTATCTAATTTGTAAATAGATACCATGAATTTTAATTTTGTTTTAATTAATCCTTGAACTTTACTTCTTTTACAAATAAACATTATTAATTTTAATTTCATTCTAATTCATTTTGACATTTGATAAATTATTATTTTTATAAAATTTTTATATTATTAATTTAGAGTTAAATTATTTATCTTAAATATCAATCATTCACTAATTTTTTTTTATGTTACAATTATTTTTTTCAAAATATAATAAAAATATGTTTAAAAAAATAAAAATAAAAAAGAATGATAAAAGTAATAAAAAGAAGTCTTTATTTAATTTTTCCTCTTCTTCTAAATTATATTGTATTTTAATATATGAAAATAAAATTAATATATATGTACCAAAAAATTAATAAATAAGTGTGATTTAAAATAAATAAATAATTGATATTTTTTATCTTAGTAATTTAATCAATGTAATATAAGAAATATACAACAAAAAAAACTTAATTAAGATAAAATTACAATCAAGATATTTATTTATAAAAATAGTAAAATTTAAAAATAAATTATAATTAAATTCAATTTTATGATGTCTATTTGTTAATAAGATAAAATTTAAAGATCAATTGAAATAAATTTTAAAATTTAAAGAAGTTAAATTTTTTTACAAATAAAAATATTTATTTTAAACTATAAAAAATAAAAGATAAGTCAAGTGAAAATATAAAATAAAAAACTTATATTTTTAACATAGAAATAATTATTTCATATTTCATATCAATTTAGTAGTACTTTTTTTTATTAAAAAGAAAAAAAGAAGATAAAGACTTCAGTCATCACTCCTTGTGCTTTAAGGTTTCAGCTTTTGAGGATAAACCTCACGAGAGGGTTTATCGTTTAACCAAGCGAAAGTCGCTGCTGCATCTTCGGATCTGCGCTTGTTTTTGAATAGGTAAAGCCTCAAACTTTAATCAAGTTTTGTTTTGTGCCGTTTTTTTTTTTCATGCTCTTCTTAGTTGGTGCTTTTTCGAATCGTGCCAAAACAGAGCAGCGGAGCTTATCAAGTATGGAAACCCTAATTAGATAACCAGTGTTTTTACATTTGTGATTGATTTGTGTGCTTTGGAGTCTGAAGATTTCTTGTGTGTTTTTTATGTATGACATCATTTCTAAGTGAATGGCAATTAGCACCTTAAACAACAGGAGGTGAAACATTGATGATTTTCTGAATTTTTGTTGTTATTCATTTATCCGCTCCATTTCCATTTCGTTGTTGTGGGTTACAAAGTGTGTAGATGTACGGAGGCCTTCACTCAGGTTATCTCTTCCATGATCATTATGTTTATCTTTCGATAAACTTGTGTATAAACACTTATAGTAATAGAAAATAAGAAAGAAAAATGAAATAAGTTTATTCAAAAGTTAAGATTAACTTATGCATAAATTAATCTCATATTAACTTATTCAAAATATGTTTTTCAACTTATGTACAAGCTAGTTTTATTTTGTAGAGAAACTAATTTCATTTCCTCTTTTTTTAGAAGTATTTATGGAAAAGTTTATCTAAAAATGCACTCAATGTGATTTTGGCTTTTCAAATTTTCAAGAAAAACTGGAAAATTGTTTCCTTTGTAGCCATATAGAACAGACACGGCAAAAAACAAAAATAGAATAGACAAACCCACTTAGGAAAAGAAAAAGACTGAGCAGCATAACCGCTTGCTACTATGGAATCAACAGAAGGTTATAGCATCGTCAAAATAAATTTCCCCCTTTGCAGTTAAAAATTAACAGAGATTACTTGTGGGAATTCAAGAGGCATTTGTTGTTGGTTGGTTACTTTTGGAACTTTTACTCAATGCTCATCATTAAAATTGGAAGTCTCTGAATTTCTTAAAATCTTTCTTGCAGATTTGTGCTATTTTGGCAAGTGAAGCACATTGAGTGTAAACTGTTAACAAGCATGGCAAGCTTGTTGACAACATCAGTCATCACCTATTCTCCTCTCAGCAATGGTTCCAGGGATTTCAGAAAGTCTGGTTATTCTTCTAAAGGAAGGTGTTGCATAAAAGCAATGAGGATAGAGAAAACCTTGGAGGAATTGTACAATGTGAAAGTGGAAAGAAAAGTGTCTACTGAGAGACTAGCTGAGCTTGGAGTTTCAAAATGGTCAGTGTGGAAGACTGGGAAAAGCAGGTTGCCCTGGGACTGGCAGGTAGACCAACTGGTGTACATCGAAGAAGGGGAAGTGAGAGTTGTGCCTGAAGGGAGCAAGCGTTTCATGCAATTTGTGGCAGGGGACTTGGTCCGGTACCCTAAGTGGTTTGAGGCTGACCTGTGGTTCAATGGTCCATATCAAGAACGTTATAGTTTCAGAGCATATGGTGATGATCATCGATGATGCTGTATGGTGGCTACTTAAAGTAACATGCACATCTTATTTGGATGTTTTAAGTGATACATGTGTTTTACAGTTTTAGTTTTCCATTTTATAGTGTACTACCAATGTATTTGGTGAATGTTTGTGATAATTTGTTATCTTTTAGAAGAATTAATACTAAATGTTTCTGCTGATCTTTTCCATGTTTTGTTTCTCTGCAAAGCAAGACTTACCTATAGTTTCAACTAGACCAACTTCATGGAATTGTCCTCCAAACGTGATGTAAAATCACAAATGTCCATAAATTCAAACTAGAACATTTAACTCTGCGAGCGCATAATAGCTTTAAGCCCACAGATGCTAGTTATTTTTCAATGCTTTCTATCAACAAGAATATTTTTTTTAAAAAATGCAAACGTGTACAAGTAAGAAACATCCTTTTATTAACATCCGGGGAAACGTATTAACTTCGAGCTGTAGGTGCAACTCTAGAATCGGCAAAGCACTCTTTGGGTGGGGGCAAGGAGAGGTGGGGGGAGAGATATCAAATAATTTCATTCTTTGAAAAGAGCCAGATCCCAAAAAACCCAATCCAAAAAGCTGAAGTAAGAAAAGCCCCAATGAAAAGCACCAAGTTCCGAACGTGTATTGTCTCTCTTGAAATAAAAATGGATCCACTATGACAGTAAATTCAGCCAGCGAAGAACAGATAACTGTCAGAGAAACCAGTAAATATGAACAAGGATTGGAATCTTTATCTGCAAAAGGCTAAAAGAAATAGAAACTACCAATGTTAAAATTACAGAAAGGTGGCAAAAGGAAAGGATTGCTTTTGTATCACTGCATAATCTCAATGGCTAGACTTCTAAACAAACACTGCCTATTATAAACTACAGTACTTATGGTACATACAACCCATGATTCCAGAACAAATGATGGGAGACAAAAAGCCCAGAAACAAGGAGCAGCCTGATATCCACATCAACCCCCATTCACCTGTGTTCCTCACCATGGGGTCATAGCAACAAACAATTCGGATCTCTGATGGCTCTCAACCACCTGCAGTTGCCAATTGATTCGCACTGGTGGCAATTGCAACAGAGGATACAAACCTTGAAACAAGGACGGCCTCATTGCTCACAGCATTAGCTGCAGCAACATCTTCCAGTTGTCTCCATATGGATTCTCGCTTTTCTTGGTTCTCCTTATTCTTGATTTCTTCTTCTTGGAATCTCATCAAGCATTCATCAAAAAGTGCCTGGTCAGCTTCAGAGAATATTTTTTTAACATTCATAGTCAAACTCTGAACAGCTGGGTTCCAATGGCCCCGTATATTTCTCTCCAAAGCAGGGAAGATTATAGGCAGTATCACTTTGCAGTTTTGTAAGATCAAATTTCGAATATGATCATTGTTCCACAGAAACAGAGCTCGTTCAGCTACCTGCCAACAGAAGCAAGTCCACATCAAATCTAATTCACTAAATACTAGGTAAATTTTAATTTTAACAAATGCTTCACAAGTTGCACTTAAGCTATGTTTCATTGCTTCTTTGAATCTTTGAGACTGATTACAGATAATAAAACTTAAGTATGCATAGCAATGCGGTTCATAATACAAAACAAACATTTGCGAATTCCATAGTTGTCCCAAATACAAGTTTTAACATAAAAGTCAACCATATGAACATATCAAATGCTATATATCAAAGACAACCATATATTTATGAATAACTTAAGATAAATTTATGGTTGAATGCACTAACAAATTTGTCCATTGCATTATCCATTCAATTTGCATGCTATTGCTACAGCAGCTCAATTGGATTTTATTATTTTGTTAGATTTGAACATCATAAAATGAAATCTCTTTTCCATTTGTTATATTTAACTAGCTTGTTCATTAAACATAGACCGTCAGTCATCATTCAAAATCTTATGAATAAACATATGCAGTTTGACTTCTATGTCCAACACATGTAAAAATTCAACCACCACTCACATTATGACTTGTAAATTCAAAATATGAAAGCTTGATACTTGAAAGATGAAACCAAATCTAGATTCCTGATTGAGGTACTACATCACTACACAGCCATCCGCTTAGCACTTAAATCTTATTTTACACTAGTACATTCAAAAAGCCTTCAAACCACCTAGTTTCTTGCTCTTGCCATATTAATTCATACAAAATCCTCTCTTAGCATGTCAAAACAAAATTTGTATGCTGTCCTATTTTAGTTTGGTTATCTTGGCAACAAACACACACACACACACACACACACACACACACACACAGAGAGAGAGAGAGAGAGAGAGAGAGAGAGAGAGAGCAAAATGGTGTCAGTGTCATAAAGATTGAGTAATATTCAAATATTAGATAAATGATAGCATCTAAGATAGCTAGGAGAAGCAAAGTGGGAATGGAAATGAATAACGCAGAAATCTCTATACAGAAATGAGTGGTCACTGGTGTTGGCAAATGCTAATCAAATGAATGCAGACATCAGAAAAGAAAAGATGTGGATGAGTGAATTTCATAAGCACCTGAAAGTGTAAGCTATTGAGGCATCTACCAATTCGACGAAATAATGGAATCACACATCGCTGAAACTCTGCTGCTTGAGTTGCCTCTAAAACTTCCTCCAACTCACCAAGGAACATTACCTCCTTTGTGCTATTAGTTATTGGCCAATATTTCAAAAGGCCTTTTATCACAGTATCAGCCAGCTTGACATCCTTCTCAACAAACTGAGTAATGCAATACGAAAGTTGTTGATGATAGAGAGCAACGCACTTGGGCTTGTGAAGTGGGATCAGTGCCCGGACAAGGAACAGCTTATGCTCTTCTTTCAAAGGCAGAGCAAAACCATTAATTATGCTGCCCAATATTTCTAGCAACTCGGCAATCCCACTGTGTTTCTCTGTCTCAAATATGAACCGGTAAAAGATATTGTTGATAGCTTTTCTAATGAACGGCCGATGCACCATGAACTTCCCGTAAATACGGTGGAGAATAGTCTTCAGGTAATCCCTCTCTCTTTGGTCTTCTGAGTCAAAAAGGTCAAGCAGCCTCAACACAAACGAATGATCAATGTATCTTTTAGCAAGCTTAGCATCCGTCTCTGGTGAAGCCACAAATCTAAAGAGAAATTCATACACAATCTGCAGATGAGGCCATGCCGGTTCCATAACAGGTTCCTCCTCTTCAGGTTCACAGATTTCAGCCAACTTCCCATCATGATTGGAAGAAGGCAAAGCACGAAACAAATTGGTCGCCACCATCTTCGTCATCTCCTGCATCGCCAACTCATTGAACTTGGAATTCACAGACGAAACGTAGTCAACAAGCTCAAGTAGAGTTTGCCGCTTAACGTCCTTCTCTTTGAGATGCTTAGCAGGATCATTAAAATCAAACACAACACAGCACATATTCAACTTTCGAATAAAAAGATTCTGCTTCTCGGAGCTAGGAACATCCCTAAAGCTAGGCAAAGCCTCATAAACCGCAGAAGCCATTACCGAACCCGTTGGTGGAGCTGATTTCTTAGTTTGATTTGTAAACTGTTGAGCACTAGTCTCATTCCCAGAACGAGACCCAACTGAACCAGAGCTTGAAGATTTCGAAGAAACTGAATTGGGTTTCAAGAGGGTATTGGAATTGGTCCCAGAAGATGAGTTCAGTGAGAAACCATCATTGATCCCTCCTTCACCGTTTGAATTATTATGAGAAGATTTTGAGGGTTTGCGAGGTATTTTACCGAATATCTGTTTAATCATATCTAGAGCACCCCCAAAGCCAGAAAAACCCCAACCCCAACTTTCTACTAAAGAATCAAAGATTCAAAATCTTGATAAATAACATTATCGAAAACAGCTAACGAAACACGTGGAAGGGTAGGGTTTAAACATGAACAAATACCCCAATTCGAAACTCATAGCTCAGAAAAATCTGAGTGAAAAGTATAGTCATAAATTGAGGGGGTATGAGGAGTTGAAGAAATTGAGGGAATGAACAAGTGGAAAAACACTTACATTGAGAAAGGGTGAGAAGGTGCGACGAGGGTTGAAGAAAGGGAGAGATTGAAGTTGAAGTAGGAAAATGGTCACAGGCTATTAGTGATTAGCCCTAGTGGGAAAAAGCTAATGTTACCCTTTCTTTTTTTTTTTTTTTTTTGAAAAAATACATTCTGATTTTGATATTTCAAATTTTATATTTTTTCTGCTTTGATTTGAACGTTTAAATTTTATCAAATTACAGTAGTTCTTAAAATTGAAATTTTATAATATTAAAACAAATCGAACAAAACATATAACATTGTCAAGTAAATTAAATTGGTATCATTTTATTAAGTACTGATATTTATTTATTTATTTAGTTTATTGATTTAGAAGAGTTTATGTATTGTTAGTGTAAAATATTTTACAACTTTAACTAACTCAAATTGTATGATTTGTAAGTACTTATCAAACTAAATATATTTATCATAAATGTTTATTTGTTATGAGATAATCAGGTAAAAGTATTTTACATTGTAATACATATTTTATTTTTCCCTATAATTATTTTATAAATATAAAATGATATAAAATAATATATTTATTCGAGATTTTAATAATACAAACAAAAATATTTTTAGACATTTTAGTTTATTTTGAATTCTTACATTTTTATTTAAAAATTAAATGTTTATTAACAATGATAATTTATATAGAAAATAGTATAACGATTAAAATAAGTAATGTAATATTAAAAAATATCGAATGATAATAAAATTAGTATAATAATTATATTATGCGTAAGAAAGAAAAATATTATAAAAATATTATAATAAATAATAAGGTGGAACATATTTTTGGTCTTCCTAAAATTTTTTAAGTTTAATTTTAGTCTTTAAAAAAATCTATTTTAGTTTCTTTATTTTAAAAAAGCACCACTTTTAGTGCTCAAAATCATTTAAATAACGCTTTTATAATTATTTTTAAGTTAAAATATTTTTTAATTTTATTTATTTTACTTTTTAATTCATATAATTTAAAATATATTTTTAATAGAAATTAATGATATTATTTTTAAAACATTATAAAAAAATAAAGATAAAATAACAATAAAAAATTTACTTAGAATAAAAATAAAAAAATGATAAATTATAAGGACAAAAATTATATTTAAGCTGATTGTAAATTCATGTGTGATTTGAAAGCAATATTTTTCAAAAGTTACATAACCTAAACCATTCTAAAAATTATACTGCAAAATTTGAACATGTTCAAATCAACGATAGATTGAATTAAATTAGTAGACATGTTAGACCTTTCTCACTCTTATACATATCAATTAGTTGATGAATTATTCTATATATTAAAAACACGTTTAATTCAATCACTCGGACTTGATTAAGATGGTTTTCAATTTTATATTTTTAAAACCACAACCAGTTTTTAGCTTTTAGATTTAGATTTAGATTTTAATTTTTTTGTTCTAATTTTTTTAAAAGTTTTCACATATGTTAAAATTAATTTAAAAATGTGTTTCTTATGATAACCATAGAGATAACAATGTGAACACTAATAATAATAGTTATGTCAATAATTATGATCATGACATTGTTTACGATGATAATAATAATATTAATCATAATTATTATTATTATTATAATAATGATAATAAAGTTATGGTATTTTAATTTAAGATTAACTATTTTTCATCGGTTCTTATAAAAACAACGTAATATTTTTAATTGTAATTTTATGTTGAAATAAAAAATCGAACTTTGAGTGCTAATAACACTTATATGAAAATTTATAAATTATCATCCGCAAAAATTTGTAAGAACAAAATTTGTTATGAAACTTCTTTTGTATTAGTAAAAAATATGAACATTCCTTGTATATTAGGAACACCCTTTTTATCATTATTATATCCTTTTAAAGTTACTACAAAAGGATTAGAAACTCAAGTAATAGACAATATAATATGTTTTGAATTTATACATCCACCAAGGTCAAGAGAATTAAACCTATTAAGAGAAAAAATATTATAGAAAATAAAATAAAACAAATCAATTTTTTATCTAAAGAAATTCAATATAAAAGAATAGAAGAACAGTTATTAAATAAAAATGTTCAAGAAACAGGTTCTTCAGATTCAATATCAATCAGTCCTTATCTTCGCAATGAAGATATGTTTGGCTGAAATCTCAAGATTCAATTATTTCAGTACAGAGAGACAACTGTCAAAACATCAAGATAAAGTTATTCGCCAGCATCACAAAACGACACAAGACAGCTCATCAAGAAAAAGACATGTTACCAGCTCTGCAAGAAGACAAAAGACTTTTGAAGATACCTTATCTTTAAGGTCTTTCTTTATGTAAATTATAGTACTTTTTCTATTTCCTTTCTTACCCTTGTATAATTAGGTGAGTCACTACCTTCACTTGTAATTTAATCAGTACTAGTTAGTCTATATAAGGAGAAGTTCTCCTCGGTTGTAAATCATCGAGTTTTCTAGTGAGTTTCAATCTTTAAATAAAATTATATAAAAGATTTGTACCGACGATTTATTATTATTATTATTATTATTATTTTGTATTTTCACGTATTTATGCATGTTTTTGTATGTTTCCGTACCGGTATCATCCCCAATAATGAAGCGAATACAACCAAACATTCTCACTAATTTGGCTGACTCAGCATATCATCCTCTTAAATCGGTAAGATTGTGCAACGACATCCAAATTTCACATTAAATTTGTTCTTGTGGCACTGGCTATTAGGACTTTTAAATGTCGAAATTTATTGAAGACGGAATGTTAAACAACACAGCAAGGCACTTCACTAGTTCACATGAAAAGTACTAAACTAGACCGTAAACAACAAAATGACTCAAAGTTGAGGTAGTAGCATCTAAGAGCAGCTTAGCGCAAGCTGGAGAGTTTTAGTTAGATAGCAGAGACAGAAGATTTAGCACCGATTTTGAAGGGAAACACGATGCAAGTTAACAGCTTCTCCTTATGATCCTTAAATGTCAGCTTCACATTATAGGTCCCCTGCATAAGTAGCACGATTTATTAAATGAAAACTAACCAATGAACCCAGTAATTAAGTTAAATGTTCCAGGAAAACATGCCAATAAGTTGCACATCAGAAATTTGAAGACCAAAACAAGAACAATATCAGTGCTCAATGCAGTAATGACAGAACAATATCAGTGCTCAATACCAGTGTAGCAAAAGAAAATAAAATTAAGGCCTAATCTTTCAGAGTACATGATTTATTTAAAAGACTGACAATTTTTTAACAAATATTTTTTCATATATACTAAACTAAAAATTGAATCTCTCACTACACATTTAAGAAATAAAATTATCTATTGACTATTTCACACTTAATTGGCACAACAGAGTGAATAGTGAATAGTACACATATATTTGTTAAAGTGGAGAGTGGAGACTAACCGGTGGGGTAACTGGAGGCAATAATTCGGTGTGGACGAGCACAAAGTTGCCTGCAGGAACCGGACAGTGTGCTTCCTCACAGAGATCATGGAGAAATGTAGCAGGTGCCCCTTCTATTCCAGCATATGAAATTTCATATACTAAGTCGCCACTTTGAATTGGTTCAGCTGCATCATTAATAGGTACAATCTCCACTCATTACTAATCAAAGTTAATAGCAAAATAATTTAAACATAAAACTTTATACTAAAAAAATGAAGCTCATTATGCTTGTACATATAAAAAGAAATGGTCATTGCAATTAAGAATTGAAACAGAAATACACTGACGAGTATAAGCTGGGATCTTAAAGGTGAAGGGCACTCCTCTCTCGACAGGGTCAGGTAATATTTCCACTCCACTCACCTTCACATCATAGTCTGCATTCCCATCTGCATACCATAAAATAAAATCCAAATCAAATGATAGAAGCACCAAGGTAGCGTAGGACTTATAATTAAAATGAAAAATAGAGGCAGTTTAGTTACCACAGTAATTGAAAGTGTGAGATTGAGCTTGAGCATGAACAGACGAAAGTAGGAAAGTGATGGATGATATTGATAGGCATAAAAGGAAGAAGAGAGTGGAAGCAGAGCGAGCCGCCATGGTTAGCTAGGTGGAATGCACAACGCCATCTTTGCTATTATATACATAAAATATTACTAATATAATAATAACACGTGCTACGTATGGAGCTTTTTAACAACGGCACGTAATTAGTTTTTTTCTTAATACTTTTTCTTTATTTCTGTACTTTTATAATTAATAAAAATAAATTCTCTCAACTATGTCAAATTTATATTTTTAAATTTTAGAAAACTAAATATATAATATGATTTCCAATTTTTTTTTTAAATTCATAAACTTGATTTATACACTAATCATTTTAATTTAATAGTTATATGATTTAAATTTGATGTAAAATACATTATTAAATAAAATAAATATAAAAAAAATTACTATTGAAATAAATAGCTCTCTTTTCTTCTTTTGTAACTATATTATAAACTTAAAATATTCATAAACTTTGTTGAGTTAGTGTAACATTTTCATTGGATCATAGATCATATAAATTTTTTAAAAATCATAATCGAACTAATTCAAGTGATATTTTAAAAAAAAAATAATCGGTCCAGCGCAATTCAATTATTCAATTTATACCATATAAGATATATTTTTTTTTTTCTTTCTGAAAATGGATTGAATTTTATAATTTGAATCGAATCAATTTTGTATCTTTCAAATTTTTTGCACACCCTTGTTTGTTAGTAAGTCTTGTTGTTAGTCTCTTGTAGGATTGTTGACAAACATACCAAGTCTTATAATAGTAGAAAAAAAACTGAATATTTATCGTTCTCCAAAGAAATTACATCGATGTCTAGCATAACCCAGTGTACTCGAGAGTTATCTATACTCGACATTCTCCTCATGTCATTCCTCACCCTTTCATATATATGTATAAATTTTATAAATATAAAGATATTTATAAAAAAAAAAAGTGTAAATAATCGTAACATATGTTAAATAGTTAAAAAAGTGAATGTGACTGTAAGATTATATGATTACATATGTTCGATCTATTAACAGTTAAATGTGAATTTAGTATAAAAAAAGTTAAATGCGAATAATCGTTGAAATAATATAAAAAATATTTAACTGCTGAGTTAATAAAATTTAATATATAAATAATATTAAAAAATGTAAATTTATTTGAATTGAACTTGGAATATTAATATTCGTAACAGTTAAGAAATGTATTAATTTCAATAACTTTTTAACTTTTATTTCGTTGAAGCGTTTAGTTTTTATTACCATGACAACCGAATACTGTGGAACTAGGAGCTTTTACGAATCTGGCTCCTGAGATCGCTCTCCCGTGAAGACGAAGAAGAAAGAAGAAGAAGAAGAAAGAGTGATCAGATTCCGATTCCCAAACCATGAAGCCGAATCCAACACCTTCACCATACATCAGGTTCTTTCACCCTTCATCTACATTTCGCATTTTCTCTTCCACTCGCTCAATCGCTTCTCAACGTAACGTGCTTATTATATATCTCGTTCGGATCTCCACATTTTTTTAACGCTACATTCATTCCATTCTATTCTATTCAATTCTTCATTGTCTGTTATTGTTTTCTCCAATCGGCTTCGATTTCGCGGACGTTGAGCTATTGGCGAGCGTGTCGTGGAGCGCAAGATTCAACGTCGATGATGAATCATGAGTGCTTTAATTTAACCATTTTTTTTTTTTGCAGGAATGGTGGTGTTTAACGTTAGTGGAAAATGCAGCGTGCTCCTTTGACAGTTGAGGAACGTTTGTTGGAAAAGGCGGTGAAGGAAGAATGCGCATGGGAGAGTCTTCCCAGGCGACTTCATCCAATTGTGCCTTCAAAGGAAGAATGGCACAAGAGGTTAGATATAGCTTCCATTTTGTCATGTAATTTTTTTTCACTAGAGTATTATTTATATAATCTTTATTTAATCTTATAGTTAATTAGTACTCAGTTGTTAGTAGTTACCCTAGATATTTAGTTATCGCTGTTGATATAGTGTTGATGCTTGGGAGAGCCTTTATGGAGTGTATTTGGACTTATTAAAATCGCTTAATAGCTTTTTGTGAAGCTGATCGAAGTTACTTTTTAGCTTTATTCAATAAGTTTCATGGTCAAACTAATGATATATATAAGCTCTCATGTTCCAAGAGTTTATCGAATAAGCAAATAATTAAACTATCTAATTCTAGCTAAATGTACCCTAATTGATTATTTAACTCTACATTTGAACAATGCATTCCTACAAGTCATTGGAAAGTTGAGAACTATTAGGGCCTAAGGGATGCAGTTTAGAGCCCCCCATAACTTTAAGATAGCATTGTAGTAGCACACTAATTGACATCTTTAATGTGTTTGTTCTGCTTTTGCTCTTCTTTGGAATAAATTATTAGGTAGTCCTATACTATATGGTTTTTAAGTAGTTTTTACATGACATGTAATCAAGTGTTATTACTTTTTTCTTGAAAATTGAAAATTGAAAATCTTAAATATATGTTATATAATGATTGGATGAGACCATAGATATTTAGTGATCCTGAACTGCTTAATAATTTTTCCTTCTCTAGGACTTTTTTTTTATCACTGATGTTGATGTTGATGTTCAAAGACATAGGAGAGTGTTTCTGCACTATTCTGTAACTCTTGTTACAATGCGACTTCTTCAAAGAAGTTTTATTTTATTATTGCTTATTGTAAGATGTTTTAAATAAAATCAAACTGTGCTAGAACCTACTTACTATCAAGATTCTTTTCATCCTCTAGGTTTGTGTGTGTGCGTGTGTGTGTAGAGGCGGGACTACACACAACTTTTTAAGTTGCATCAATGAAATTGTGGTATTGGACTGGGCACTTATGAAGATTCTCATGTGCTTGGTCCTTGTTCGAGAAAGACCTTTTATTTTTAGTTGCAAGAACATATCCTTTAACTGTAGAAGTATAATAAATTTGCATAGGAATGAAGAAAGGTTTTGATTTTAAAAGGCTATTGTACCTTTAACTAGAAAACCAACATTTATCCCTAAGAATGAGAGCTAATTCACATTTATGAGTTTTTATTTTATTTTATTTTTTATTTTCTATGTTTAATTTGATTCTCATGAGTAATAAGGTGATACTCTCCATTCATTTCGGGTTCATGTGTTTTTTTCTTGAATATTTTTCCAGTGAATACATAATTAAAAAATTGCGTTCTCGATTGTTGACCATCTAAATTTTATGCAGGATAATTGAATACTGCATAAAGAAGAGACTTCAATGGATTAATTGTTTTGCTCGTACAGTTTGTAAAGAAAATGAATATTATGAAGATATGATGCGCTACTTGCAGAGGAATCTAGCTGTATGTGTTTTACAGAATGTCTGTTACTCTGCTTGATTTCTCCTACTGAAATTTGAAATTGTATATCAAATACAAACATTACAAAACTTGATATGCCCACGTTCTTATCAACGGGACCGAAAATTATTATAGAAAATTTGTGGAAAAACTGAAGTTTATTTTATGTTTCGAAATTAAATTGTTCAGTTGTAAATTGTAATTAAAAATAGTACTTAATGTCTTAAGTTTTAGGATAAGGTTTTAACAAATAAGTTAAGGATCTTGCTAACTAGTGTCCTTATGACATTGATTAGGGAATTAATATGTAGAAAATTTTCATTGAAAATTACAATAAAATTACACGAGAGAATGTGTGGACACACTTTTCAATACAAACTTTCCACTTTTATTCTTTAACTAGTGTCCTAAGGGATAGTAACTATCATCTTCACTCTTACGGAGTACTATAGTATTTAAGAACTCTAGATATAACTATCATTTTCTGAATGTTGGGCAGCACTCTCATGTTTTGCTTTTGTTTTAGGACATCTGCATTTAATGTGCATGTTCTCACTTGCAGCTATTTCCTTATCATCTGGCGGACTATATATGCCGTGTAATGAGAGTATCGCCTTTCAGATATTACTGTGATATGATTTTTGAAGTAATGAAAAATGGTAACCTTATTATTTATTTGCAATTTCAACAGTATAAATTAATTTCATGAATATTGTGCTTAACTATTGCTGTACATAGCATGATTGAGGCATTTTTCTTTTCTTGATTATTATTTCCTAAGGAAAAAAGATGTGCTCACTAATAACTAGATAATTTTGTGGCATTTGCCTCTGGACCAAGTCTTTTAGTTACTTTACACTAGCAAGAAAAAAATGTCTAAAATTAAGGGAGGTATGCATAGTTAACTCTAGTAGAATATTAAAAAAAAACTAGATTAATAGATCAAAATATTTAAAATTTTAAATTCTATATGCATAATTAATTCAAAGGAGTTTGAATTTAAAGTTTAAAAGAAGTGAAGTTAAGAGCATGGTTTTTAAAATCAAATTGGTTATTAAATCAATTAAGACATTAAAAATACTAATTGTGGTTGAATTGGTATTAGTAAAATGATACATAAAATAGTATTAAAGAAATATAATATCACAACTTACAAAACCAAAAATAAAACACTATTTTGTAAGTTGTTGACATTCAAAGTACCCACAAAAGTTCAAATTAAACACAACACTTAGTTTATGTTTCAACAATACACACTAGTGTGCATTAGAAATATCAGTGACCTTAGGTTTTTTTTCTTAAAGAAGAAAACAAAATGGCGTTGCATAAAACATTTTTTACTGACCTGTTTCGAACTAGGTTTTTGTTGCATTTTTTACTGGTATTTGATTGATTTTTCGATTTTTTGTCCGCTTCTCTTCAAGACCAATTTTGTGGTTTATTTGGCTTGGACACTAGGCTGGCAGCCCAGTCTAGTTTCAAACATAGGTTGAAGTTCACGTGTCATTCTTCAGAGAAGAGTAGAGAAACCAATTAAGCTTCTTTGATTCCATATATTTTTCTGCTTTCATAATATAGGCGTAATTATATCATGATGTACAGGAATATACTTGTAGAGTAGTAAAGATTTGATTGGTGGAAGCTGACCTTTAAAAAATTTACTAGTTTTAATTATTTGCAGAGCAACCTTATGACCGCATCCCGAATTTTAGTGCTGCAGATGCTTTAAGACTTACAGGAATCGGAAGAAATGAATTTATTGATATTATGAACAAGTGCAGATCTAAGGTACTCCATAGATTTGGCTATTCGTTACACAAATATATATTCAATACTTTGGATTACATGTATGTTATTGCGTGCAGATATATGTGTTTGCTTAATTACCTGTAACCATCGTACTGTCTATTATCTTCTATTCTCTCTCTCTCTCTATATATATATATGTGTGAACATTTATATAAGTTGACATGGCCTTGAAGTCGGGCCAAACAAAGATGGTTCAATGTTATCTTCAATTCTTGATCAGGTATTTCTCTAATGTCTTTGATACGTTGTACAAAAGCTATCATTTAGGTTTTAGATCCTTGCAAGACAGACGTGGACATGCATATAAATCTCTATGACATTACTTGAGTATACAATCTATGATTTTTTTTTCCTATTCCTTTTGTGGAATATAAAACCAGGGTAATTAGGGAAGTAGTAAAAAGAGAGGTAGAATTTGGAGAAAGAAGGGGAAAGGTGGTTTCTTATTGTAAGCTATTATACTCTTACCAGCCTTGCGGCAAGCATGATGAACCATCGTATCAATTTTATTTATTTCTGTTTGTCCTTTTATGCATTTGAATTTATGAGTTCACGAATTTTACTGCTGTTGTCTGGATAATGATTTGAATTTGCATTATAACCTCATAGTTTTGGTTATGCCATTATCAGCAAAGGTAGGCCTGCAATTTTTTATGATTCTGGTCTCACCATTCAATTACTCTTTTGGAATATCCAGAAAATAATGTGGAAACTGAACAAGTCAATAGCAAAAGAACTTTTGCCTACTCAACCTGTGGATTTTCCAATTGAACCATGGTGGGGAGTTTGTCTTGTGAACCTTACCTTGGAGGAATTTAAGGTGGGGTATGTCCTTCACCCTTTTAAAATAGAGGAGGTTCACTTATTATGCTGTTCATTGGCAATACAAAATAACTTGTGGAGAAATACTAATAAATAATACACCATTTATACTCTTAAAAGCGAACTGTCATGTTGTACTAAGTTATTTGGTGGGGCCAGTATGAAATTTTACCAAATTATATTGCTAGTAGCCTAATATTCCTTATAACTTCTTGTCGATTTATTCTTACCTTTTCTTGTACTTTAATAGAAACTCTCAAAGGAGGAAATGGCCACAATTGACAAAGTCTGTATGGAGGAAGCAAATTCATTTGTCTCGTTTGATCCTGACATTGTAAGGGATCTTTGCAGACGGGGACTAGTCTATTTTGATATTCCCGTTTATCCTGACGATCGGTTTAAAGGTTTGTTTATGTGCTTATGTTTTATTCTATTTTAACTTAATATGGGTTTTGCCTTTGTCGATGTCCTTTTCCAAGCCTACGAATTTTTTTCTTCTTTTAAGCTTCATAATTTGAATAAGCAGGGTTGTTCTTGTTCCTCAGTTCCGTTTGGTCTAAATTGAGGGAAATGACAACAGTTGTTAACCTTCATTCTTTTTAGATTTCTTTCCTTTTCTTGACTTCCAAACACATCCTAAATGATTAAAAGTATCCAATGTAAATTTCGTATTCCAGCACAAATTAAAGCAAATAAAATAGCCCAACATGGTCAAGTTTGATCCTTTGTCTCCAATAATTCAACTGAGAAAAAACTTGTAGCAGAAAATTGCTAGCATTAGCTCCTAAATTTTATGTAAAAGTGGATCAAATAGAATGTATGAACAGATAAACTTAAGAAAAAATGTTATGCACAAAGTAGTTTTCATTCAATCACATACTTATAATAACATTTTAATTGGTTGACACTACAACATTTTTTCAACTGACATGCCATTAAACACTAAACTTAAACCAGCATTGATGATGTCTTGTTGTGAACAGTATGTGCCGCAACACGGAATTTCTAAAACACTCTGTCATATTACTGAGTAGTTCTGTAACTATTTAAATTTAACTTAATAACATTTTATCTTCAATTTGGTGGCATCGTGATTATTATGTGATATTACAAGCTATGTTTTAATTGAAGTGACATAATACTAAGATAGAAAAAAGTTAACATAATACTCTCGTAGTAGTACACTGCGACTGTTTTGATGCATATTATAATCATTGTGGTGTGAAATTATTATATATTTGTATCAAATATAAACAATTAATTCTATAATAATAAAAATCAATCAAACCACTTTTTCTTAATTTTTTATGTTAAACTCCTTTCTTCCTTTTCTAGAATGTATCATGTATCTCTCAACACTCCAATCATTTATCATTAATTGTTTCCTTCTCTTTCTTAACATTTAATGTGACCAAACTTATTAGATCAGAATATTAAAATTTGAATTTGTATGTTTTGACAAAAAAATGTGGAATAAAATAATGTTGCAGATTCATTGCGGTTGTTTTATAGAATTTTTTATGATTTAAAAGAATATCACAATTGCAGGCAATAATATTGCGATTGCAAGGAGCATCACAGCAATAATATTGCGATTGTAACTGGGAACTGCAATTTAAAACCATCGCGCCTTTAATTGCAATTTAGAACTGCAATTGCAGGCCCAACCATTTTTTATTATTATTACAATTACATGTGTATTCGATCCGTATTGACACCATAGTATGGAAGAAGTAAGGACAAATAATGCATTTTATTTACCTGAATTTCGTTGAGAAAGGAAAAACCTCCGGCCTCCAAAGGCAAGAAGAGGATTGAAGTTGAACATTAATTTGTTCTTTCCTATCTTTTTGGAAATAAACTGGCAAGCCAGCCAAAATTGGGCCTCCAAAATTGTGTTCCGTTTTAGGGCCCGTTTGTTATGTTTTATTTTTCTTTTAAAGAAAATATTTTAAATTAAAAATATATTTAACAAATTTGAAGATAGTTATTTTTCAAAAAATATCCAAGACAAAATCATTTTAATATTTTTGAGTTAGAAATAATAAACCTTGAAAAATGAAAAATAAAAATAAAAATAAGTTATACCTGTACAAAATTTAAGTGCGAGGATGAAATCTTGTATTTATTAGAATCGATTAAGTAAAGACAATATAACGTAAAAAGATTCATACTCATTGTCTTCAGATTCATATGGGAAGGTCAAGTTTTGCTATGTTGCGCGAGAAGCCAATAGGGTGGCTGATAGTTTGGCGGATTTTTCCATCGAGTCTACTTCCTGTTTTTCTGTTTTGGAGGAGGCTCCGGAGTTTTGCCTTCATTTGTTGAGGCAGAGTACTCTAGTGTCTTAGCTGTTCTGGCTTCCCCGCCTCAGACGGGTCCTGTTTAGCATAAATAAATAAATTTCATATAT